CAGAAAGAGTCAGGAGCCCAGAGGAGGGGGCAAAGGAGGTGAGGGGGTGGGGGCAGAAAGCAGACGACAGAGCATTGCTGGAGAGCAGGAAAGGAGGTGAAAGGAGACAATTTTAGCGAAGAAAATGTTTCGGTCGCTACCCAGTTTCGAACCCGGGACCTTTGAATGAGAGGCGAACCTCTAGGCCACGAGAGCCCCCAGTAAAACTCTGAATAGACCATTTGAGTGTTATTGTAGTAAAATCAGGCTCTCGTCAAAATAATGAAATGGAAGAAACCGGCATTTATCTTACTGATGCTTGATTTATATTGAATTAATATTTTTGCTCAACACCATTTACGTCCATTTAAAAATATATTTCTGTGTTGATTTCACTGAAAAACGTTAATTAGAGACAGAAAAAATGTAAATTTGCAGTTTCTAAGGATACTCAAGTATTGGAAGTCACCAAAGTTTGGTAACCATTTTCTTGCTTATTTTGCCTCTGACACCAAGCGCCGCCTCCTTCAACTGCAAATAGCTCAACTTCTATTCAAGATAAATGGGGGGGGGTTTTCATCAAAAGCAAGGCAAATGAGCAAGCTTTAAGTTGATACTGATAACTCCATATGCCTAAAAAATCAACGAGATCCTGAAAGCCCCATAAGCTGACACATTTTGAAAGCAGAGTTCTTGATTCCTGGTCTGGACACTTGGCTGAAAGAAAAAGCGTTCCTGGAGGCACTAGAAAGAATCAAGCCCCATTTTGGAGACAATCTGAACGTGTCCACATTAGTGCTGGGCGGCAAGGTTCCCGATTATTGAAAGCTAGGAATCGTAGGAATCGACTTCTAACCCAATTACTTTACTTTCTAATGACGTGCTTTTTTCCGGTGGTTACCTGGTTGGCTCCGAGCATCTTCAGTATTTAGGATACCCTTGATTTCGGAATACTACGAAGCATCAACTTCTATTTTTCAAATAATAAATTCTAAAAAAAAAAAGATTTTAATGATAAATGAAACTGATAACCGTTGGTTTACGTAAAAAGGAGACGGAACTTTACTTCCGTAGTATTAATAGTGGGAATCGGTTCCGGAATCGACTCTTCGCCCAGCTCTAGTCCACATGGTTGGCAAACTGTCCGGCTGTTCTAAGCCCAGAAAGCAACATTTTTCAGGAGAAGAAAAAAAACTAACTGCTTATTCTTTTGAAAATTGTACCCAATTTATGTATCTTCTCTTGCTTTTTTGCAACATTTCAAATTTGAATTTTGACAAAATATTTTGAAGCATATTATGCACCTGATACCACATTTTAAGAAACTTGCATTTTTAAAATTAATTCCAAATTTCGGGATAAGTAGATCCAAACATCGTGAAAATTCACTGGCCAGACACCATCAGAAATGTAGTATCATGGAATCGAACCAAACAAAAACCAGTTGACCTTGAGATCAAAATAAGAAAATGGCAATGGATTTAACATACACCCAGGAAGCCAGCCCACAACATAACAAGACAAATCCTGAGATGGAACCCCCAGGGGAGGAGAAAGAGAGGAAGGCCGAGATTTACTTCGGAGTGAGATCTAGAGGCAGATTTCAGGCATATGGTTCATAACTGCCTGGAGGTGGAGAAGATCCAGTTCACAATGCTAATTAAATTCAGTCAAACCAAGTCAGGGCCAGCTAGACTTTCTTCCACAGAGGGGCAAAAGCTATCAAATCCACCTCAAATTAAACAAGGTTGTTTTGGGAGGATTTATCAAATTATGCCAAAATTGCATCTTTTGCCCCTCCATAAAGAAAATTCCTTCCCCCCCCCCTTGTACAGAATGAATCAAATGGGTGATGTGCGCTGGTGAGTCTGTGCTGACTCCTGGTTTAAAAGAAAGCCTCAAGCAGAAAAACTTTCAAACTTGAATTTCAAAAGAAAAAATTGTGACAACGACCATCAATTAGTTTACATGTATTGTCTTCATTCAGTCATCTGCCTGATCAGTTATTCATCCCTGATATTTCTTTTCATTGTCTGTCTGTTAATGGAAATAAATCTCTTGATAAATAACTCAAACTATGAACCCTAGTGGAAAGACATCCTCTTCACAGATATTCTTTTTCTTTTCAACAGCTGACACCGCCACTGTGGACTCTCGTTTGAAAGAAATTGCAACTCTGAAAGCCGCTGATTTTGACACCACAGTTATAAACTCATCTATACTCAAAGTCACCGCAAAGGTACTGTGAAATAAGCGTAAACTAAATTTGATGCTCAGTTTTTCCTGTGATTTTTTTTACTTGTTTACATTTAATAGTTAATAGCAATTATGACACAAACAGGTAAAGAGAGTTAGGAAAATGTATTTCCTTTCAAAATGCATATATCTCTTGCATTGTAGATTTAGTACTCTTTCTTAATATCTCTGTTTCAGTCTATATCTGTCTGTCTGTTTGTCTGTCCGTCTGTCTGTCTGTCTCACTCTCTCTCCTCTCCCTCTCCCTCTCTCTCTCTTTATTTCTCCCCCTGCCTCTCTCCTTCTCTCTTTTTCTCCACCTCTCTTGCTCTCTTTCTCTTTCTGTCTCACTTGCTCCTATTCCTTCCCCCTTCTTTCTTTGTATCTCTGTGTTTGTCTCTCTCTCTCTCTCTCCTCTCTCTCTCTCTCTCTCTCCCTCTCTCCCTCTCCCTCCTTCCCTCCCTCTCTCTCTCTCTCCCCTCTCTCTCTCTCTCCCCTCTCTCTCTCTCTCTCTCTCTCTCTCTCTCTCTCTCTCTCTCTCTCCCCCCTCTCTCTCTCTCTCTCCTCTCTCTCTCTCTCTCTCTCTCTCTCCCCTCTCTCCCTCCCTCCCTCCCTCTCTCTCTCTCCCCTCTCTCTCTCTCTCTCCTCTCTCTCTCTCTCTCTCCCTCTCCCTCTCTCTCTCTCCCTCCCTCTCCCTCCCTCCCTCTCTCTCTCTCTCCCCTCTCTCTCTCTCTCCCCTCTCTCTCTCTCTCTCTCTCTTTCTCTCTCTCTCTCTCCCTCTCTCTCCTTTATTTATTGATATGTGTGGCATCATGGGGATATCTGGCAGTTAGTTGTCCAAATAATGAAATTGAAAAAAAAAACCAGCACTTTTCAGCCTGTTGGGTAATTTATATCGATTTTTTTTCTTTTAACTCAACACGTCTTATGTCCATTCAAATACACATTTCTGTGTGGTAGTGCTGGGCGACCAGGTTCCCGATTATTGAAAGCTAGAAATCGTAGGAATCGACTCCGAACCCAGTTACTTTTTATTAATGTGATTTCTTCCCGTGGTTACCTGGTTGGCTCCGAGCATCTTCAGAATTAGGATAACACTACTGCATCAACTTTTATTTTTCAAAAATAAGGTCTAAAAAAAAAAGAAGAAGATTTTAATGATTGAAGTAACTGATAACTGTTGGTTTACGTAAAAAAGTGTTGGAACTTTTCTTTCGTAGCATTAATCGCGGGAATCGGTTCTGGAATCGATTCTTCGCCCAGCTCTGCTGTGTGGACTTTGCTTTCCATGTACTGGAATGTTTGGGCTGTGTCAAAGATGGTACATAACAAGATGGGCCACTTCTCTCTTTGAGCCAATTAAAAAAGTGTCCTCAAAACTTGGTGGCGCCCTCTTCACAAAAGCGCACTCTTTGCGAACAGAGTTACCCTACTTGAGTTTTTAAAAATCAAAGTGAAACTAGCAAGTTTTGGGATAAATTTCGGAAGAACGCTTTTTTAAAATGGTAACGCTGACAAAAAACCTCTTCCGGAGGAAAGGGTGATGGTTTTCTTCATTTAATTTGACTTTAGAATGAAAGGCCAGAGGTCATTAAAATAAAAAAAACCTAAAACTCCGCACTGAACGTACCCGAACTGCTGATGAACAGCAGTCGATCTGCGCACGCAAGGAGGTGCTATTCCTATTCTTCTGGAAAAACGAAAGAGAGCTTCAAAACAGACTGCAGCGCCATCTGAAGCAAAGAGCATACTTCCTGCGGACACTTTTTGGCTGAGTGGCCCATCTTGTTATGTACTATCTTTGGCTGTGTATGTTTATGCTTCTGGTCTGTGAATGCTTGTATGTTTTTCTTGTGTGTTTGTATGTCATGTGTTGTTCTCTCAAGAATGTGAAGAAAACGGTTGTCAAAGTAGGAGGATGTGGGTGGTTGGCGGGTGCTCTGGTGTGGTTTGCTTCTCCTTTCCTATCAGACTTCTGTCGTCATTATCTCCCCTTCTTCTTTTTTATGTTTGTTACTCTCTTGTAACACCTGTAATCTTCTGGTGCTCATATGACCTAATGCAGTTGCAAGCGCCGTAAAACCTCTACTAATTCCTATCAAACATCTATCGTCTTTATCTCCCCTGCTTCTTTTTTGTGTTTGTTACTCTCTTGTAACACCTCTAATCTTCGGCACTTATATGACTTTATTGTGTTGCAAGTGCTGTAAAACACTAAAACTAAAACCTCGACTAAAACTAAACTAAAAGTAGTCGGATTTAAGATTTTTATAAAGAAAAATCAATCATATCGAGTAGAACATGTTTACTTAATGGTGAAATGGTATTGGTTTAACGCCCGTATCAACACTATTAGGTTATTTAAGGGGCGGGACCTCCTAGTTTAACGTCCGTCTCCGATAGGACCGAGCCAAGTGGGAAGTTCGTGTAAAGTGCCTTTCCCAAGTACACAACGTCGGACCGAGCTGAGGCTCGGACCCCGAACTCGCAATCTCACGATTACGAGTCCGGTAGCTAAACCACTAGACTACCGACGCCCATGTTTATTTAATACAACCAGCTTCACTTTATGTGTTTGTATAGATCTATCTGAGACACTGACTTCTTATTCAAGTTCAAGTGATATTGTGTCTAAGGGGAGCTAGCCTGGGCTCCTGACAAAGATATAAATGAACATCAAAATTTATCCAGCATGTCATTCTCAACATTTCATCATCATCATCATCGTCATCATCATCATCATCACCATCACGATCATCATCATCATCATCAACATCATCATCAACATCATCATATCATCATCATCATCATCATCATCATCATCATCATCATCATCATTATCATCATTGTAGATAGCAGGGAATGAAAAAGGGTATGAGGCTTAGTAGACTTTTCCAATTTAATAAGTTCAACGTTTCGCCCGGTTAAGGGCTTCTTCAGGAACATGTACAAAAAAATATAATGGAAAATCTATTGACTACAAGCTATAGCAACAAAAGTGCGCGCATACACGTCATAATGTCAAAAGGCACGATCATCATTATCATCATCATCATCATCATCATCCAAACAATTTTCCTCGTTCCTGTTTTTTTTTCTTTTCTGGAAGCATAACAATTTCTTCCATTTTGACACAGTTTATATATATATTATATATAAATATAACTCACAAATACCTGGCACTAAAAGAGTGACATTACATCTTCTTTTGGTTCGTATAGGTACTAACAAAGTTGAGCCAAAGCTGCTACCCTCCCTTAGCGGGTCTGCCTGGGTGTGTCGGATTCCTGGAGTTCTGGATCACCAGCAGCGAAGACGTCCAGGACATGCAGTTGAATGGTGGGATGCCTCCGGCTCACTGGATCTCGGGGGTCAAGGATGCTGTGAGCAGAATTTATCAGAAGATGGATGGTAAGGAAGGTTAATCTGGTTAACATCTGTTTTGTTTCTTTTCTTGAATCTTAAAACCTTAACGTTTTTTTCACTACCTATTTTCTCTCTTTCTCTCTTATTCTCCCTCTCTTTGTCTCTCTCTCTGTCTGTCTGTCTCTCTGTCTCTGTCTCTGTCTCTGTCTCTCTCTCTCTCTCTCTCTCTCTCTCTTTAACCCCAGCCCCCACCTTTCATTTACTACAGTGGAGTCCACTTATAACGAGTCCTGAAACAACGAGAAGTCTGTTATAAAGACACTATTCTTAAACCCCTTTTTTCTCCTTCTTTATCTTTGTAAATAAAATACTGCTATTGCGCCATCAGACCGTCACGCGGGTCGGTTTTAACGGAATATTGCTGCCGCTGTGCACAGTGCACAGACCAGTTACATATTATAAAACCTTGCCAGTTGAGAAAGTTGTTGGTGATCCAGCGAAATTAAGAATGGGAGAGCCCACGCGAACCAACAATGAAGGCCGGAGCGAATGGGTGGGGAGTGAGTGGCATGCGCAGACAAGCAGAACGCATCGCGTGATAGGCCAGCCCAGTCTAGGTTATCTAGGCATACCGTGCCTCTCACTTCTCTGGTGCGGGATGGAGAAGTCACAATGCTGTGATAGATGGAGTGAGTGTGTGACGTGCGCAAGCAGACGCGACGCACCACAGGGTGTGGTGGGGTGGGGGACAACAAAGCGGGCGAGTTAGCCTAGAGCCAGACCCCCTTCTTTCTGATCGCCAACGCCGAGCTGTCAACATTGCTAGTGCTGGAGAAAGAAACCTAATTCGATTTTTTATCAAGTAAGACCTAGAGATCATGTTGAACAAATCATCATCAGGGGTACAAAAAGGAATAAACAGAGTGCCAAACTCATAGATTAGGCCTACTTTACTATTTCCCTTGAATTTATTATTGGATCCTTTGTAACGAGAATCCTGCTATAACGGACATTTCGCACCGGTCCCCTCCCTCTTGTTATAACAGGATTCCACTGTATATATTATTTTCTCTTCCTGATTTTTCATGTTCATATGTTTACTTTGTACCTCATTGCCCAGCAGAATGCAATGGTGATGCTTTCTCCTACTACCAATTTTGTTTTGTTGTGTGTTTTTGTCTCTCTTTCCGTTTTTCTCTGTCAGGTCCCCCCCCCCCCCTCTTTCATTTACCTCTAGAACTATTTCCTCTTCCTGCTTTTTCATATTTGAACCTTGTTGCCTTGTCTAATGCAATGCTCTTGACAAAACAATGTTTCGTGTCTTAATTAGGGGCTCTCATAGTCTAGAATTATGGTGTTCGCCTCTCATTCAATAGATCACAGGTTTGTAACCTGACAGCAACAACACTTTTTTTACTCTAAAATTTTCTCTTTTCTGCTCCTTTCCGGTTCTCTAATCTTGTTCTGTCACATGCTTTCATCTCCACTTACTACTATGGAACTCGGATTCAATGAGCTCGGATTCAACGAGAACTCGGATTCAACAAGATGAGATAGGTTCCCTGTTTGTTTGTTTTTCTTTAAAATCAATAAAAAATAACCCGGATTCAACGAGCACTTAAGTCAGCGAGCTCGGATTCAACGAGTTTGCAGACGTGGCTTCGCTCATTGTTCTCCCAGAACGAACTTTTATCTATTCTTGGAAACCATCATTGCACCTGCATGGTGAACCATTATTCACTTACCCAATTGCATGCGACCAATCAGCGGCCTTTTTTCATACCAACACGCGCATTGTTGGCACATGCACGTGTGTACTCTGGCGTGTGTCGGGGTTGGATGGGCGGCCTGCACACGTGTGGCTGTGTGTGCGTGTCAGGGGGGGACACACACTAGCGGTCCGGGCGTTGAACGTCGCAGATACAAACGCGTCACAGTCTTTTTTTTCCCCTCGGCAACTGATCATTATTACAATGATAAGCTAGTCATAACGTAGATCTACATAATGAATTGTGTGCTGGTCTAAGGAATCAAAAGTTGCTAGGCTCTACACAGCAACACAACTTTTTGGTAAACAATCGAGATGATGCAGGCATGTGCATTTGAACGAATCAGTCTTTTTTTACACAGCTCATAATACTATTTAATATGCAGGCATTTCAGGCACTACTTGTGACTTCTCTTTATACATTACTTGCTCACTGCTTGTAATTAGCTACACAAAACCTCGTGTTTGCTATAACAGACACTCTGATTCAACGAGATTTTAGGTCAGGCCCGGCGACCTCATTGAATCCAAGTTCCACTGTACCCCCTCCGCCTTCCTTGATTTTTAAAGACACTCATGAGGACACTGTCCCATTTACATTGCTTATTCTTTTTCATATTTTTTCTCTCAAGATTTCAAAAAAGCTTGTGCGGATGCAGCCCGGGCTCAGGGAGAGGGTGCCTCAGGTCAGGCTGGTGATGAAGATGATGATGATGATGAAGATTTCAGGAGCAGAGGCGAAGGTCCACTGGAACAAAAGGAGGAGAGTGAGGGTGAAGAATATTATGATGAGGTGGATGCCGATGCAGTTGCGATTCGTCGGAGAAGACACCAAGGTGTTGTCACAATTCCAATGTTGCTGAGGGCTCTGAACCTCGAGGGTGATGCAATTGAGGTGTGTAGTTTTATAATAACTTTTCCTCTTTTTTTCTCATTTGTTGTGATGTTTTAAGTGACAGACAACACTCTCCAAAAAATTCTATTGCTTTTATCCAGAGTTCTTGTCAAGACTTTGCCTAATCTGAGCATAAAATGAATGACTTTTATTTTTTGACCATGTCTGTAATCCACTGCCTTCAACGTGAGCTAAAGCCTGAATCTATTTGAACAATCAAATCAAATGAACATCTTTTATTAAATCTACCAGGAGTTGTTTGTTTTTTTTCTATTTTTGAAGAATAAATTGCTTTTTGTGCAACTTATCCTTCAAATGAATAGAATTCTGAGTGGATTTACTTTTCTAAAGAGACATGCCGACAAATGATTTTTTTAGAATTCATTTCTTAGAATATTATGATTTTTCTTTTCTCAATGATGGACTTTTATCTTTTGTGTCATGCGCAGTTGGTGAGAGCTATGTTGTGTCAAGCCGTGGACAACCCGCGAAGTAGCCAGGCCCGAACTTCCTTTGCCCAGGGAGAATTCTTGGATCTGTCAGTAGCAGGTAAGAAAAGTCATAGTCCCCAGTTGAAAGAAGGTGACATCATGCTTTATTGTGCTCATGTGAAAAAAATTGCTCTTGGAATCCAAACCACATTTGGAGAAGATTCGAATTTTGCTCCAGGACTGCCCACCTCCCTTAACGATGTTTTTCAAATCTATAACAAAAACATTTTTTGTGGAAAAGACGTACCAAAAACTTTTGTCATCTTGTCAGTCTTTGTTTAATGATACTCAGATCAGTTTTTCTTGGAGCCCCTTTTATTGACTGAAGAAAGAAACTTGATAAACTTTTACAAAACTTAAAGTTAAAGATAAAGGCTCCTGTTGTGAGAATTTTTCCTCTTTTCTTTTTTGGCTTCTCTTGGCATTTGAATAGCTGTATGTATTTGTGCCTTTTAGCTTTGAAATATTTAAAATTGTAAATACTTAACTATGGAATAACGTCTACTTGTTCGAGGTTGTGTGAGTCTATTCTGAGATAACTGAGCCAACATAGTGAAAGGAGCACTCAACTGGTATTAGTATTAGCTTGATGAAAGTATTTGCTGTATCTTCTGTCTCGCCAAGGCAATGCCAGGGCAAGTTTGCAGAATGTGGAGAGTGTTCTGATCCGACACAGGGAGGCAGCGATTCTGAAGATTCAAGACAGGCAGACTTGGGAAATTGGAAATAGGTGCATGTTGAGAGCTGACTCAATCTGGAGCTTCATAGGTGAGTTAGCCCCATAGTTCTCTGTAACTGTAATAAAGAAAACAGAAATCACTAATGTCTTTTAACCCTTTGAGCCCCAGTCCCCCATATTCAATAATATACTTCTGAGAATGTAGAATGAAATACTTCTTAACACATTCAGTGAGATTATATATATATATATACTAAAGTAAATATCATGTGTGCACTTCTGAACATGTCCAATGATCATTGTAAGGGTTATCCCACAGTTGGAGGAGTTTATAATTTTTCCTGGTGTCCAGGGGATCAGTTTTGTTCCCTCTCATTGGAAGAAGGTTAGGGGGGGGGGGGGGAGATTAAACAGCTTTGTAGTAGAAAGTCTTTGCCTATGTTTGTTCTTACTTTTATGTTTAAACTTTTTAATCCTCTATTGCTGTTGAACGTTGAGGGGAGATGCAGTTTTCTCTGGAAGGCCAACTCTGCAGCTTTTTCAATTGAGATGTAGTTTCTTAGTGTTCCCTTTTTGTATGTCCTACCTCTTCCATTGTAGCCTGAGTACTTGGTTTTATAAGCTATCAAGGCTGGCTGACTGACTCAGTGACATTCATAACAGGTGGCCCAACCATTTTATTCTCGTTTTTACTCTGAAATGCAGGACGGTATCCACACGTTCTTATGGCGTCTACAGTGATGGCATCTGATCCTGGGGATTTGTTCTAACTTAATTTATTAATTTTTCCCTTTGTTCTTCTCAGGCTACTTGATGTTGACTTACAAAGAGAGAGGGGAGGGATTCAGCTCCTTGATTGATCTCATCCTGACAACCCCAGATATACGCAACTGTCCTCTGATTGCTGAGAAGATCTTGATTCTGCTCAGTGGAAAGTACCAGGACCATGTTGTTTTTGCCAAAGGAAATGCCTGGGTGCCGGACAAAAAAATGTCCAAACAGTTTGAGAGGGTCCTTGGTGAAGAGGTAATAAAAACATTTTCCCTTTTTATGAATGGTGCTCTGTGCTGTAGAGATACAGAACATTTTTACCTATAATACGAGTGATTTTTACAAGAACTGATGTTCAAAAGTATACCCCCCCTCCTCCCATATTATACCTACAGCCAGGATCAGTCCCAGCAAAGTGGAAGTAATGACAAATATAGGATTTTCACAAATGAATTCAATCTCAGTGCAACAAACAATTACAGTTTTTTAAGATAAGAAATTATAGGACCTGTGTTTCATGTCCAACCAGTGCTTGATTTCACACATGTTGAGCCTCCTCCAGAATATGTCTGATATTCCCTCCATGGTATTCGCGGTACCTACAGAAATTTGATGATTTTAATGTCAAAGTATACTCTCCTATTATATATGCAAACTCATGTTATAGGCAATTATAACGTAGTTTTGAGAATTAAAAAGTACACGTTCTAGCAACATTTTACGCTTGTGCTCTGCTTTGAAAATGGTTTTGCTTCTTCTCTTAAAGAGTTCTTTTTTACTTATCAAGTTCTCCGTATTTGTTCCTGATCACATGTGCAATACAGTGGAACTCGGATTTATCGAGCTCGGATTCAACGAGAACTCAAATTCAACGAGATGAGATAGATTCCCCGGTTTTTTTTTCTTTAAAATCAATCAAAAAACCTGGATTCAACGAGCACTTAGATCAGCGAGCTCGGATTCAACGAGGTCGCTTCCAGGGTGAACAGCCCCCGAAGACGTGGCTTCGCTCATTTTTCTCCCAGAACGAACTTTATCGATTCCCAGAAACCATCCATTGCACCTGCATCATGAACCATTATTCACTTAGCCGATTGCATGCTAACAATCAGCGGCCTTTTTTCATACCAACACATGCGTTCTAGGCACGCGCATGTGTCTACTCTGGCGTTTGACGGGGTCGGATGGGCAGCCTACACATGTGTGGCTGTGTGTGCGTGTCGGGGAGGGGGGGGGGGCACTAGAGGTCCGGGCGTTGAACGTCGCAGATACAAACGTGGCACAGTCCTTTTTCATCCTCGGCAACTGATCACTATTACAATGATAAGCTAGTCATGACGTAGATCTACGTAATGAATTGTGCCCTGGTCTATGGAATCTAAAGTTGCCGTATGCTAGGCTCTACACAGCAACACAACTTTTTGGTAAACGATGGAGATGACACATGCGTGTGCATTTGAACGAATCGGTCTTTCTTTTTACACAACTCATAATATGCAGTCATTTCAGGCACTACTTGTGACTTCTTTTTATACATTACTTGCTCAGAGCCTGTAATTATCTACACAAAACCTTGTGTTTGCTATAACGAACACTCGGATTCAACGAGATTTTAGGTCAGGCCCGGCGACCTCGTTGAATCCGAGTTCCACTGTAATACTATACTGTTTTGTTTTTGTATTTTTATTTACTGATTCTGTTGATTTTAAATACTTGAAAAAATTATTTAATTGTTTTGTAGTTCAGTCCTCTGCATTGAATTACTTAAATTATAAAAGAATAAAAATACAAAAAGAAGTAAAGGCACAAATGGTGACTTGTAAAAACAAACAGGAAAATTAACTATCTCATTTTAAAAGTAAACTGCAAATGGTGCTCATAGATTTTGTTTTCACTTTTTTCTCTTCCAGGAATGGCTGAATATTGAAAGAGAACTTCTGTCGAATGTCGAGATTCATGTGTACCGAGAGTCGGACATACCAAATCGCCACAGTCATTGTAACTCAAATCCTTACATCCCCAACAGACTCCGCAAGGTTTTAAGCATTCCTCTCAATGAAAAGGAGGAGCAGCCTCGCACAAGTCTTCGCCACAAATCTTTACGGAAGAAAACTTGAAACAAGAAGTCAACTAAACCATAGATTGGCCTAGAGCCATCTTGCCGTAGCGGTGTGGGAATGGAGGTTCCAGATCGGACCCCCCAGCTCTTCTCTCCTCCCCCCCCCCCCCCCCACCTTGATTTCCTCATCATTGTCATCTGCGATTATTTGCAGCTCTCTGATGCTGGCTGATTTCTATTGCAGATAGACTTGAGAATATGCCACCTCATAGATATCCCATGTTGAAAAGAGGTGTAAACATTAAGAAGGCAAGATCCCAGGGAAATAAAGAAGCTAATTTGAGAAAATCTCCTTGGCAATTGTCAGAGGAAATGCCTTTTCAATCTAGCATCTGTGTCCAACGAATCACGCGATTTTTTGCATTTTTCCAAAAACCACACCGCCAGGGAATAAAAAATTGAAAAAACGGGGTATAAAAAAAAGGGGAAAAAAAAGAAACCGAACCTATTTACTTTTAGAAAGAAAGTTTATTTTCACGTACGCTTAACTTCTTTTCTTTCTTACCTGTAGACCCCACGTTTTATTTGGTTATCTTCATGTGAAAAAAGGTCTTGTACATTACATACTATTTATATTGCTGTTTCTCTCTTATCTTTCTCTCTTTGTTGTATTTTAATTTGCTGGTGTGTTATTTTCTTTTCTTGTTATTGTTCAGATGCGTTTTCTATTTTTTTTGTGTATCGTAATGTCAATATCATTTAATTTGATATTGTTCCTGCCTTCAAAAAAAAAATAAATGCGTTATGTGAGAGCGTGTCTCCACCAAACCCGAATACATGTACATGAACTGACACTGGCAGGCCCCTTGTGCGTGATTCCATAATTTACTTGTAATATCCTGTACTTTTTCTTGAATAACACATGTTTAGGGTTAAAACGGCCACTCTTCGGATAGGTGGACACACGCCCTTATTTGTTAATTTTTGTGGTTGTTTATGTGCTGTTCTAATTTTGATTTTATTCTGTTGTGAAACCTTTATTTTTCACGTTTTTACACTCTGTGTGGCTACAAATGATCTTCTGGATGCTTGAAACAGAACACAAGAAATTCTGGTGCTTTAGATTAAGTTACCTCTATCAACATATTGCCATATACGTCGTCACACAGAGTTTAAAGCTTGAAAATTATTGGCAACTCTTGCCATTTTTGTGGCAACTTTTGGACAGTAAAATGGCAACAAATGGAGATATTAGTTGGATACTGGCAACCCCTCAAGTGCACAAATGATAGATCATGGCTATGGAGACATCAGCTAACAGGCTGACACAAGACTCTCACAGGTACTTGAAAGAGAGATGGATAGATAGTTAGATAGATTATTTAAGAAGACTACTGTACCAGTAATCAAAATGAATTCGCCTGTTACATTTCCTAGCGTTGAAGCTGAAGCTCTGTCATGTGAATGTTGAAGAACAATAAAAATGTTTTAATATATTATATGTACTGTATTCTTCCTTTCAGCATTTGTGATTTCTTTAGCCAAAAGCTAAAAGTAAAAAATGCTCACACATATTTCGTCTCTATTTTGAATGAATAAGTGATAATGAATTTTGTTTCTTTGAAATATAATTCTCTTGCATGTACATTGCTTCCATGTTTTCAAATAATTATTTATTGAATCTAAGTTTTTATCTACATATATCAGTTTTATTCCAGTATCTTCTTGAAGTACCTTTTGTCAGAAAGGATGTGCCATAAACTCTTTACTTGAGTTGCATGCTACTGTGATTCATTACAACCGTAATTTTCAGTGTTGTCTTTATTTTATTTCACTGATTGTTAAGTCTGAATTATTTTTTTTATATTTATAAGATTTCATAACACAAATGCATTAAATGCAAGGAGACTTTGGTGAACCAGGAGTGTTTTGTATACATTAGGGTTCTTGATTTGTGTTAATTAACCAATGTTTCACTTTATTCATCAAAACCTGGACATTATCCGAACGTTTCGAAAAACCGAACTGACATTAAACGGATGCTACAACTCTGGCAGTAGGCCTATATTATTAATAATTATATAAAATTGGGTACTTTTGGTAGGGGGGGGTTTTGTTCACTTTCGATCATCTATCAATATTTTCAAACCATCAGGAATTTTATTCTCTATCAATATCAATTCAAATGAATAGTACCTTTGTTTTAGGTTTTACTTGTTTGCTTGCTTGCTGGTCTGTTTGCTTGTGTCAATTCTGTTAGTTAGATTAAGAAAATGTTCGCACACCCAACTGTGACGCTCTTGTGCGATCGTAATTAATGTGAAACTGAAACCAAAGATTGGGTTGTTATTAAATGTTTTAGGCCCCTATTGACACAATTTAGATCATTTAGGAGGCGGACTGCTTCGTCCTTGCTCGTCAGGCCCTGAGAGGTATACAACAATGTCTCAGAAGACAAAGATACACTGGGTGCCGCATTCAACGAGGTCACATTCAACGAGAAGTCGGCTCCAACGAGGCAATCCTTAATTCCCGATTTTTTCCTCTATATCTCTTTGTAAATGTACGTCGGCTCCAACGAGGTTGCAAACAGACCGAAGTTGCTTTCGACGAGGTCACGATAACCAAATAAAAGCTATGAGCGACCCCAAAAGCGCTACACAATAGATGCCAGTCATAGATTGACGAAAGCTAGCAAAGAGCCTACTTTCACTATAGATAGATAGACAGACAGACAGAAAGATACGAGGTGTGTCTCAGAATAAAGTTTCCCTGTCATGCTATCCTCACATATAATTATAAATCACCTTGTATTTGGTATCAAAGGAAAGCTTATTCAAATACCTATTCAACGTAGGAACCATCAAGTTCAAGACATTTCTCCTTTTGATGTTCCCAGCGGTCAAAGACAGTGGTCAGTGATCGTTTGTCCAAGGTCGCGAGTGCCTTTCTCATAGCCGCTTGAATCTGGTCCTCGTCCTCAAATCGCCGACCTCGCAGCATTTTTTTCACCTTGGGGAAGAGGTGGAAGTTGCATGGGGCGAAATGGGCGGGTGCACCATTGATTCCCACGAGTAGCCCTCAAACAGCTCGTTCACAACTCTGGACTTGTGAACAGGCGCGTTGTCATGGTGCAGGATGACGCCTTCTTCAAGCAAAGCGGGTCTTTTTTCTGGATCGCAGGTCTCAGCTTGTCTTGTAAGACGAACCTGTAGTAGCCACCATTGACAGTTACGCCAGGTGTGACTAGCCAGCTCAGTATGAAGCCACTCATGACGAAAAAACCCCAATATGCATCACCTTTCTCTCCCCATGTTTTCTGCGTGCGCTTCATCTTTTATGTCAGACCTCCCACCTTCAACCTCCCTGATCCATTTCCTTACTGTTTGAATTGATGGGGCATTATTTATTCCCTGTTAGTTTGTAAAGATCACCATGGGTTTCAACTGCAGACTTGCCGAGAAGAGTTGAAAATTTGATTACAACTCAGACATTTTTGAGTTGTGTTGAGCGCCTGACAGGCTGCTCCATAATCTCTCTCGATTATAACGTTTCTAGTGCATTTTTAAGTTATTCATAC